TAAAGCTTAAGCCAATGAGTTATGGGCCAATTAGGATATATTGATTGCTCTATACCACGTCAATTTTTCAATGTGAGACTTTTTTAACGTAACTCATACGTGTATCTCAACATATTATTTCTTTATTCTAGTTTTATTCGTACTTTGAAATATTTTCTAAAGCCAACACATTTTTTCCTCCAACAAAGTTCGAGAGGTGTTTGGGTAATTCGCACAATTTATATCGAGCGAAACAAATCGCAGTTTCAGCTAAAATTGGTGATAGTTCGTTTTTATTGTAATTAAGTAATTGTTATTTATCACTATAAATTACTACGAAAGGCAAACGAACTACTAAGAAAAAGTAGGGCCGGACTGTGATTCAACAGGCCGAACCCCCGTTGAAATTCAATAGGGCTGGGCCGGTTGACTGGCATGGCCGTTACTGCTGTTTTCTCTTTGCAACACAATTCGATTTTACTGAAACAATTCTTTTGACAAATAAATGAAAACCTACGATGCTCTTTGTTTAGGTTTAGAAATTTAGTCCAGCTAATTTTGATGATTTTGGACATCTAGTCTTGTAGACTATTAAATGAGTTGGATCATAACGTCTCTTGTTCACCGACGCAATTAGATAATTATTTATGTAACGATGAATTAATTTCATGCTTGAAACGATATTTATGTGATTAGCGAAAACACGAATAGTCTATTGTCTCAATTATAATATCTTTATATGCATAAATATGGTTTTATGTGGTTATAATTAGTTCGAATTGTTAGAGACAAATTGATGCCGAATTGATTTTTTTCTATATCCTCCCATGATTAATGGCGCTTCTAAGCGATTTCTTTGTAGGTAAATTTTCTATTCAAGTACTTCGCTCGTTTAATTTCACAACAAATATTTGATAAAATCAATCATTCATTGATGATATTTCATTATTATAGGTGTCTGGCTTTCACGTGATTAAAATACTTATCTTAGAGAATATATAAAATGTGAACGACACAAAAGTTCTTGCGCAATTATCATAATCCTTCGTTCACACTTTTTATGCGTTGCCATTACTTCATCAAGTATAATTTTGTCTATGTTCTTTTCCTATTTTGTTCCAGTTTTAGCAATATATGTTCTGATATTATTTTTATTGTTTTCACATTGTCAATAGTCACTTACATATTATTTTAGTATAAATTTTTATTTATTTCTTTCTCCCTGATCCCACCTCTCTGGACGCCCAGTCCCTCTTCCTACTCACGTGATCTGGCACACTCCTAATCTCTCTCCAACGAGAAAATATTCAGTAACATCGTAGTACTACTCAGCAGCTGACGCGGCAAAAACCTTTTTTGCTCATGTTCATTTACAAATTGACACATATCATTAACTTAGAATCTAATAAAATAATTAAAAATCTAAATTTTCTCTCTCTTCCTACTCCATCCACAGCCACCGTCCCATTCGGCCATCCATTCAACTTAGTCGTCTTGAAGTCGCCGTGACCTCCATCCTCGACACCCATCCCCAATATGTGATCGCCGCACCCAACTGCAAGTTCCCTCCCTCCGCCTCTTTTGCCGCACCACGTTGTACCGTACCCTTCTCTTTCTAAACTTGCTATTGTCTATGTCCCAGCCGACGTCGCCGTTGAGCTTTGTTGCCAGTGACAAAGCTTGATGCTGCGTCGAGCTCCATGTTGGCTAGCGACGCCACCAGTCGAGATTTGAAGTCGTGCCTCCAGATCTGGCCTAATCGAACTTCTGGATCTAGAGACATTGTCGCGACCTTACCTCAAGGTGCACCACCTAGGGATTCGGCTAATTGATTATGAAGTCTAAACTTAACTCGGCTGTTCAAAACCCATGGCAATTCACAACTTATGGTTCAAGTTCTTAACATGCAAATGATTTTCAATTGGAAGTCACTATTAATCTATTTACGGTGAATTGATTACACACCCAAGTAAAGTATCGAAATGTATACTTTACTCCTATGAACCAGATATTATGAGTACGGAGATTTGATTACGTTAGATTACTCTAATGTCCTTTAGGTACCTTTTCTTTCCATGAAAATATTTGAGCTTGCTGTTTGAATCAATTTTATTACTTCTTAACATGTGCAGTGATCATGCAGGTGCGCAAACCACCAAAGTAATACCCTATAATCAAAGCGATCAATAAATTGCAAGATAGGGAGGATATACTTATCTGCAATGTTAGTTAAAAAATCACATAATTATCCCTAATGTGATTTCTAATTAACATGCAATTCCACTCAATGTATTTTTTTTTGTTTTCTCTTGAATATATGAAAACTAACCTATATGTAATAACGTACAAAATTTGACATGCAATTTCTAATTAAATGCCCTAACATGCAATTTCTAAATGGTGTGCAATTTTATGATCGTAAGACTATATGACATGCATATGATGTATTTTTATATTTTTTTATTAAAATTCGTAATTGAAAATGCCTATTATCTAAACATGTAATTTTAAACTTAGGAAAGAAAATTAACCTATTCTAGGGTATTGTTTTTGGTATTTTCTTATTAGAATTCGGAATAAATAAATAATCTATATTAAACATGCAATCTATTCTAGAAAGGTAATTTAACTTATTCTATAATGATTTCTTTTTTTGGGATTTTTCATGGAAGTTCGTAATTAAAAATTGCCCTAAATAAACTATCAAGCTTAGGATAATATCTAAGTTAAACTAGGAAATAAATTATTCTAAATCCTAATTTAAATTGGAAGCTATCCTATCTTTCCAGAATATATTCAAAAGTGAATCTAAACTATCCTATTCTATTTAAGGAAACGATTTAGATATATCCTAAACATGCAATCCTATCTACCAGAATCAACATCTAATCTTTTTGGTATTTTTCTTTAGCAAAACAATCAAACAAAGATAGACATCATATCCCATACACGCAATCCACAAAGTTTATTTTATCTGGTTAAATTTGGAAATAGAATAAACCGACGATCATATCCAAGTGGTTATGGATATTGATGGAAGGGTTTTCGTTTAAATTTGAAAACGGGATAAATCAACTATCGTATCCAAATGGTTATAGATAGGATGAGAGATTTTCCGTTTAAATTTGAAAATAGGATAAATCAATGATCGTATCCAAATGGTTATGGATATGATGGAAGATTTTCCTTGCCACCGAGATCGTATCTTGTGGTTTGAGATCGGATTGCCATCCAAGTACGTTGTTAAGTTATGAAAATTTCCTAACTTTGGAGGATTCTTTTGATATTTAGTAACATGCATCATCACATGAATATTGAATAACTGTGATATCCACAAAATAGGTAGTAAAAGATTCAAATCAATTTAAGATCAGATAATTACCTAGTTTTGCAGATAACTTTCCAAATTTAAACAACGGAATTGGATCGGGATTGCGACGGCAAGACTCAACGGGGGGCTCAAACGATGAACGGCATGCCGGTGCTCAGCTCAGTGTAGGCGGAGCAAGGAGGACGTCGGCATCGCGGCGGGGCAGCAACTGGTCCGACATGGGCTTGAGGGTCACAGGACAGCACGACGATGTTACGGGCAGCTGCTGCGTCGTAGTGGGAGCATCACGCCTTGGCTAAATGGTGGTGGAGCAGCTCGTCGCAGGGAAATCAGGGCAGTAGTTGGCGTCGATCACGGGGCAACAAGCGGTAGCGTCACAACGCGAGGAAGGAGGCAGTAGGGCATCGTCGTCGTCCTGAAGAGAGCGACAGCGGGCTAGGCGTTGCAGTAGCTTGGCGGATCAGGGAGCAACTACGGCAGCGATGTCGTTGTGGGGTGACCGACACGGGACAGCAGCAACGGCGCAACAAGAACTCCGGTGAGGCTCCTCAGCTCGGTGCAGGCGTGGCGGGACTTCACGGGGCAACTGGCTTCGCGGCCAAGAGGGAGGGGTCGCGGCCGTGGGAGTTGGCCGTGATCTCTCTCTCTCTCTTCCATACGTGCTTCGCTCTCGTGTATTATGAATAATGAATTGACGTACTCTCAAATGAGAGGCATAACTATCTATATATAATGTTAACCTAGGTTTATTTCACTATTGCGGGCTTACGCCTTTCTGATGTGAAGGGCTCTAATAACCTAAGTTCAAATTATAATTAAACTTTAACGGGCTGAAATGTGATCAAATTAAGCTCAATTAGGCCGTTCTTATCTAATCAGAAGCAACCGATCGAGAATCGAAGATGAAAGGTGCACATTTAAAATCGATTAGTGACTGTTCTTCCAATCCTTCGCCCCAATTCCGTAAATTTCAACTCCCCCAAATTCAGATGTGAAATGTATTTCCCATCGTCTTCTGATTCTAACCGTATTCAACTTGAACTTTCAGAGCAAGAAACGAAGGAGAGAATCGCACGGTTATAAATTACTCATCAAGACTTCGAATCCCAGCCGGAGATTCCGCCGGCCTTCTCCGTGGCAAAGGAGGCCGTTACTGACGGATTCGATGCTGACTCAGATGTGAAATGTGCCGTGTCTTAATTTTTAATCCACAAATCATCGCATTCACATTAATTAACAACTTAAAAAAACAAATTTCAAAGGTAGATCTAATTCATTCGATATGTTCGTCGTCCTTATTCGAGATCTATATTTCAATATTCCCACATTTGCACATTCATTTCGAGCCACTTTAAAAATATATATCCGGTTGTCTCTTAGAATTACTCGATTTGTTTGAGACCGCCAACATAATTGTGATTAATGGAGTGCTCGAAAAATATGTTGATCGTGTTCGATAAAAATATCTACCATCCATAACACCACATATCGGAGCGATATCTAGACTTGCCCCAGAAAAATATTAAGTTTAGGTTGTGATTTTGTGATTTCGTGATTCTTCTATCCCATAATCTCGAATCAGGGAATTATCATTAGACAAAGTTTGTAAGATATGTATGAGAAATTTGGAGTTGAAGATTGTCTCATGAGAAAAATTGTGACCTAAGACCACTCTACTAGCCTAGTGATCCTAAGGAAAAGGATTAACATCTGAAAGATGGAAATGAGGTCATGCAGAAGAGGAATGAAAAGCACAAATGATGCCGAAACGCGATAGAAAGATTGACTGAACAAGAACATTCGACAGAAGAACAATTCGTCCTCCAAGTATGATTATCAAATCAAAATATCCAAAGTCTGCTCAAACGAAACCCTAAAACAAGCTTATATATCCCCAAACCTAACCCTACTAGGATTAATAAACATAAAAACGCAAAATTACGAAACTGCCCTTTACTAAATTAACCCATAAAAAAATACTAAAATAATAGAGAAACCCATCTAAACGACCCCGAATCGCGAAAATCCATCGTTAGTCACAACCAACGGTAGTGTGTATTGATCATCACGCCGTTTCGCTTCAGCCGACCAAATTTGAGCTCAATCCGAGATCGTTCACTTCGAGCCCGTCGATTCGTCTAGTCGCATAACGGGTCCGCCGGTCCCCTAGGTGCATCATCCTACCCTGCTAGAGAAAGATTCGTCCTCAAATCTGCTTCGTCTTCATTGTCGTCAATCTCTTTAGGATCTTCTTCCTCTTCAGCGTAGTAAGGTGACAAATGTGCTACATTAAAAGTTCCGGATACATTATACTTACTCGGCAAAACGATCTTGTAAGAATTGTCACTAATTCGCTCCAAAACTCTGAAGGGTTCATCAGCTTTAGGTTGAAGCTTGCCAAATCTACCCGCTGGAAATCGTTCTTTCCTAAGGTGAATCCAAACTAGATCACCTTCCTTGAAGACGACTCTTTTCCTGTGTATATCCACGCGCTGCTTATACTTCATGTTCTGCCTGTTGATATGATTATGGACCTGAGAATGCAGCTCTTTGATATGCTTTGCATGTTCTTCAATAATAATAGATTCCCTCAAAGAACATTGAGGAACGAATAATCTGTTACCTTTAAATAAGTAACCCTCCACGATCTGAAATTGATGAAAAGGCTCCGTTTTGCTCTTCCTCCATATATCCAAAAAATGAGGATCAACAACATATAAATCTTTAAAAGTATCCAAGCCTAGAACTTTTACTTGCATCGTAGACAGCAAAGAGTGTTTTCTGCTCAATGCATCTGCCACACTATTTAGCACTTCCGCTTTATGCTTGATGGAAAAACTGAAAACTTGAAGGAACTCCACCCACTTCGCATGCCTTGCGTTCAATTTGTGTTGCCCATTGATGTATTTCAAGGCTTCATGATCAGAAAATAAGATAAACTCTTTCGAAATAAGATAGTGCCTCCAATGCTCCAAACTCCTCACAATAGCATAAAATTCTTTATCATAAGTTGAATACTTCCTTTTCGCCTCATTCAACTTTTCACTAAAGAATGCTACATGTTTACATTTTTGACTCAGGACACCCCCAATACCAACACATGAAGCATCACAATGAACCTCAAAAATCTCATTAAAGTCAGGAAGCACGAGAACAGGTGCTTCAGTCACCTTCTTTTTTAATAATTGAAAGGCAGCTTCTGCCTCCTTAGTCCACACAAATTTACTTCCTTTCAGACAATCCGTCAGAGGTGCAATAATAGTACTGAAATCCCGAACAAATCTCCGATAAAAAGACGCAAGCCCATGAAAGCTACGTACCTCATGAATATTTTTCGGAATCTCCCAATTTGTAATAGCCTCAACCTTAGCTAGGTCCATCTGAATGCCTTCCTTGGTTACTATATATCCCAAAAATGTCACACGATCAGTTAGGAAGTGACACTTCTTGGTATTAGCATATAATTTCTGTTCCCTCAATGTCTCGAACACCCTTCTCAAATGCTGCAAGTGTTGATCAGTCGATGCACTATAAACCAAAATATCATCGAAATATACGATAACAAACTGGCCAATAAAAGGACGAAACACCTGATTTATTAGTCTCATAAAGGTGCTCGGCGCATTAGATAACCCGAAAGGCATCACCATCCACTCATACAGACCTTCTCGAGTTTTAAAAGCGGTCTTCCACTCATCTCCAGGACGCACCCTAATCTGATAATATCCACTCCTCAAGTCTATCTTCGAAAAGATAGTCACTCCATACAGCTGATCAATTAAATCATCAAATCTCGGGATAGGAAAGCGATACATGATCGTGATTTTGTTGACAGCTCTGCTATCCACGCACATTCTCCACGACCCATCTTTCTTAGAAACCAACAAAGCTGGCATTGCACAAGGGCTCATGCTCTCTCGAATTGCACCCTTTTCTAATAGTTCTTGCACTTGCCTCTGCATCTCCTCATGCTCCTTAGGATTCATTCTGTAAGCTACCTTATTAGGAATAGCAGCTCTTGGAACGAGATCTATACAATGCTGAATATCCTCCATGGGTGGCAATCCAGGTGGCAATTCCTCTGGTACGACATTAGCAAACTCCTCAAGTATAGGCAGAACTTTTGTTGAAATTTCTGGACTATCAAGATTCTGCTCCATGACTACAACAGCAAAAAGCTTTGGGGCATTCACCACCTCCTCCTGGAACTCTGATTTGGAAAGCAGATTACTTTTCCCTTCTTTTCTCAAATCTGAAGGACCTAGAGTAATGGTCCGACCATCCTTCTTGAAGATGTACGTATTTTTGAATCCGTCGTGCTGTGTTTTCCTGTCAAACTGCCAAGGTCTTCCTAACAGAATATGACAAGCATCCATTGGAACTACGTCACCCCACACTTCATCAGTATATTTCTTCCCAATCGAGAACTGCACTAAACACCTCTTGCTCACGTTTACCTCATTCCCTTTCCTAAGCCATGACAGCTTATATGGTTGAGGATGTTCGACAGTTTTTAACCCCAACTTTTCTACCATAGTGGTAGATATCACATTCTCGCAATTTCCCCCGTCAATTATCATGCTACACACCTTTCCCTCACTAGTGCACTTAGTATGAAAGATATTATGCCTGAACCACGATTCATCATCTACCTCAGCAATATTTAAAACCCGACGCACAACTAAAGACTCACCAGAATCGGCATAGACAATGTCCTCCTGATCTGGATCCGCATCTTCTTGCTCTTCATCAGATTCATCCTAAGTTGGGTTTTCATCAAAAGTTGGATTATCTACAAGTGTCACAAACTGTCGGTTCGGACAATCAGCAGCAAAATGCCCAAGTCCTTGACACTTGAAACATCGCTTGCCTGCAGCTTCTCCCCTGCTAGATCCAGCACTACCCTGCTCTCCTTTTATTGCAGATTTTGAACCAGTGCCCTTAACTGCCGCCGGGGCTAAAGAACTCCCTGCTTTCCCTCAAGACTCTTTATCTGACCACTTGGAATTGCTGCTTGACCACTTAAAACCGCTGCTAGACCACTTGGACTTACTGCTCTTTCTTTTAAACTGCCCCTCCACCTTTAGGGCTAGTCTGCACACATCCTCATATGTCCAATACTGCTGTAATTGGACAACATTAGAGATCTCATATCGCAGCCCTGCCAGATATCGAGCAATTGTCTGTTCGTCTTCCTCCGCCACATCACAATGCATCCGCAATCGATCAAATTCCTCTGTAAATTCCTCAACTGTTTTATCACCTTGCTTGACGTTATGATACTCGATAAACGCCTCTTGCCTATAATGGGTAGCCAAAAAAAAAAATTTGCAACAACTTTTTCATCTTCTCCCAGCGATCCACCTTCGGCTTCCCCTCTCTAGCGCGTTGCTTTTTCATGTATTCCCACCAAATCGAAGCATGTTTTCGCAGCCTAATAGCCACTAACTTCACTTTTTGCCCCTCGGTTAGGTCTTTAAGATCAAAAATCCGTTCTACCGTATGTAACCAATCAATAAACTCATCAGGATGAGCCTTACCATTAAACTCGGGAATCTCGATCTTCATCCCGAAATTTTGAGAAGAGCGCGATTTCCGTGTCGTACTCCTCGATTCCGCCCGGTTCGAACCCCGAAAGGGTTTACGTCCTCCTCTTCATCATCGGATGGATCCTCGATTCTGCTTCTTCTTCGGATTGAGCGTCAAGCCCCGCCTCCGCAAGACGTCGCTCCAAATCCTGGATTCGCCTTCTCTGTTCCTGAATTTCTATATCTCACAGGTCTCTCAGACGTAGCTGTTCATCTGCATCAGGAACGACTCCATGCCTGTCACGCCCCGGACCCCAATGGGCTCGCGATACCCCTTCAACGGTCGTATTGAACGCGACGTCCCAGGATGCGTCGCCGACCCAAACGAAACACCCAACGATAAAGGCAAGCGGAAGCGAATTTAAAACAACCCAGACAATAAGATATGACAAAGGGATAGCACAAAACAATAATTCCAAATACGCAACATCAAAAGGGAATAGTGGTGGGTTATCCTACTTCGCTATACAAAAAAAGGGCACACAAAATATGGGGTAACTTGACCCGTCCTCCATCCCCGAGATACCCTGGTGGCGTCTTCAATCAATCACGGTCGCAAATCTGAAAATGGTTATATAATAATCGTGAGAACGAGTCTCAATAAGCAACCCCCTATACCCCACATAGGCCAATGCGTACCCAGACAAGTTGTAACATGCAATCTAACCGATAACTTATATATAATTCACATCAATGGACTTACCTCGCCATCCAATCACATGCCCACACTGTACATTAGTCAAATCACATTAGTGCATCCAGCAGCGCTCATATTCAGATCACACAAGGAAATTTTCCATGCATCATACAATAACACTCGCGCGTGTCTCGATTATAAGGTAAAACCACTTGGGCACGTCTCATACCATGCCTAGCAGTATTCAGCTCATAATCAAATACTATGCAACATGCGTGGTCCAGCCAACTTTCTCACGACCTCCCAGGTCCTTTCACACTGCCCGCGCCACTGCGCCTCAGGCCCATTCTCACGACCCGCGCTACTGCGCCTCAGGTCAGCCCTCAGATCAAGCCGGACTCCGTCCCTCACTGGACATTTCACACTTTCCCACGACCCGCGCTACTGCGCCTCAGGTCAGCCCTCAGATCAAGCCGGGTTCCGTCCCTCACTGGACATTTCACACTTTCCCACGACCCGCGCTACCGCACTCGTGCCGCCCTCGGATCAAGCTCGGCCCGTCCCTCACCGGACATTTCACACTTTCCCACGACCGCGCCATCGCGTGCTCGTGCCGCCCTCGATCAAGCCGGGCTTCGTCCCGCGTAACTACGCCTCAGGACATTTTTCCCTTTCCAATGACCCGCGTAACCTACGCCTCAGGTCTAACTCACCTTTCACAGCCCGCGTAAACACGCCTCAGGCTCAGCCCTCCGATCGATCCGGGCTTTTCTCATGCACATGCACCACAATACAAAATTCACCATGCTCTTAGTCATATAAATCAATTTCAATCACCACCCTTTTACCAATGTCAATCTAGCACGCCACATCAGTCAACTCAATTCATGCTCCCTACATCGGCCCACCGACCCGACATTCAAGTCAACACATTCAATTGATTCCAATTCACCCACAAGCGCCACGACAATTCAGTCATGCTATTTACCTCAGTCAATCACTAAATTAGCCACACAATTATCGCCACAATAATTCATAAATTGGGCACACTCAATCTAATTAGCCCACGCCTAAATTAATTCCTAACCCGATACTAATCACATCCTAAACAAGTCTAAAAATACCCAAAGTACTAGGTAGGGTTTAGGAAGTCACTTACCTAAGTTTGGCCCGGGAAAAGTTGGCTCGGGCCCAAAATGGCCCCTATGGAAGCACGACCGATCGGGCGGGCGCGGCCAACAGCGCGGTGGCCGGTCAACGCGGCACAATGGCCGATCGGCGTGCTCGGCGCGCTGGCACGATGGCCGTGCGGCGTGCCGGGGCGCACGGGCGAACGGACGGGCGACGCGCCCTGGTCGGACGGGCGACGCGCTGGTCGGACCGCACGGCCGGGGCGAGCTCGGCCACGGCCCGGCCGGCCTCGGGCCGCTGCTACGGCCCGGGCGGCCGGCCGGGCCGGGCCGGGCGGCGACCGGCGGCGGCGGCGACTATGCGGATGCGATGGCCGCGGTGGTAGCGAGCGGCGACGACGAGCCGCAGGGAGGGTGGAGGTCGGTCGGGGGGGGGGCGAGAGGGAGAGAGAGAGAGGCTCGGGCCGAGGGGGCGGCGGACCGGCGGCGACGCGGCGGGCAACGAGGCGACAGCAGCGGCAACAAGGACGCGACGAGCCGGGAGGAGAGATGGAGGTCGGCCCTGGGCGGTGAGGGCGTGGGAGAGAGAAGCCGGGGCCGAGGGGGGCGGCGGCGGCGAGCCGGCCGGACGAGCCGGGCGACGGCGAGTCAGCCGGCTGCGAGCAGCCGACGACGGGGCGGCGAGGCGACGCGGCGGCGACTGCGGCAGCGGGAACGGCGGCGAGCCGAGCTCACGCGCTCGGGAGGAGGAGAAGGCAGAGTCGGGCGGGGCTACCGGGCGACACGGCGGCACGACGACGGCGCGGGGAGGACGTCGGCTGGTGGGGCGGCGTCGGGCGGAGGCTGAACGGCGGTCGAACGGCAGTCGGCGAGCAGGGCACGGCGGAGCAGAACCAGTCGGGGGGAAAAGAAGCCAACGAAGAAGAAGAAGAGGAGGAGGAGAAGGGAGAGAGAGAGAGAGAGAAAGGAAAAGAAAAGAAAAAGAAAGAGGAGAGAGAGAGTTGCATGGGGAAGGGGGGAGGGAGACGTGCACGCAAGGGGGGGCAGACGCGGCGCGCAGAAAGGAGAGAGGAGAGAGAGAGAGACTCAAAGTCAAACCTCTCACTCGAGTGCGATCCAACGGACACGGTTCAAACCCGAAAACGATCTAACGGTCCCCAATAATCCTAATTAATAATATAGGAAAATGGCCAAAATAAAATATGCCAAAAAACACCACGAGGGCGGTCTACCAGTCCAAATCCGCACCCAGTCAAAAATCCACTTTTCACATACTCTGGGTAATACCGACGCTGGCCGCAATAATATCGACACCGTCCAATTAAATTCATCCCAGAACTCCGAGAAATTCGACATCAAAGTTTGGGCTCTAAATAACGGCCAAATTCGATCGAGTGCGATTCTAGCGAAATCTCTATTTTAAAAACGAGAACCCGAGAGTGATCAGTTCCCGGGCGAGATTCCATTATAAGCGCACTGACGGATTACACGTTTTATAAATCCCAAAAATGGGCCGAAATTCGGGATGTCACAACTCTTCCCCCTTACAAAAATTTCGTCCTCGAAATTTACAATCCAACCCAACTATTCAAACAATTGGGGGTATTGGTGTCGCATCAACTCTTCGCTTTCCCACGTCGCACCTTCAGTTCCCTGGTGCTCCCAAATCACCTTGACCATCGGAATTTTCTTGTTCCGCAGCATTCTTTCTATTCTGTCCTCGGTCCGAACTGACTTTTCCACATACGACACTCTGTCGTCCATGTCTATCTCTTCGTAGTTCAACACGTGGGTCGGGTCCGGTT